CCTCTGTCTACAAAGCCTCTAATATTATTTGACATCAAATGGGATAGGGTACCGGCCTACCATAAGTCTGTAGAAAAATTTTAACACGATGACTCATAGACTCGGCTGCACTCAGAATGAGGTGGAATCTTACCGATCCTTTACTGAATGCCAATCTCGTCTACTATGAGGGCTCGTCAAATTGATTATATATACCTGCATGCATGAATGCAGCGTCCCCAACAAAAGGACGTCAGTACGAATAATGTACTAAGTATGTAAGGCAGAATTGAAACATAACAATAAGTCAACATTAATTAAAGACATATAAGAATCAACCTGAATCTCTGAAGTGCCACGGTATATACATACTTAGTATACTCATATATATACAATACTTCTTTTTGAGACTATTATCCATATCGTATGATGCGTGACTGCCCAACTGATTAGTGGTAACTGCCCGACCGGTCGTAACTTGCTGGTAAATGCATAACTGCCCAACCGGTGGTAACTGCCTGACCGGCCAACCGGTGGTAACTGCCTAACCGGCCGTAGCTCGGTGGTAGATGGCCGTAGCTCGGTGGTAAATACGTAACTTCCCTACCGGTCGTAGCTCGGTGATAAATGAATATGCATGTCTGCCAACCGGTGGTAAATAATGATACATAACTGCCCGACCGGTGGTAATTGCCCGACCGGCCATAGCACGATGGTAAATGAATATGCATGAAGATGCGTGTATCACTATATTATAAATATTAACATCTCTATCATATACCTCAATAGGGACTTAGGAACATACTTAGACATGCTTGAATATCCTTTTACAGGAATAACTAACATAGACGTCCTTAACTGCTAAGAGTAGAAACACTTATGAAATAGCATTTCGTTTACGTATCGTTACTTGGATATAACTTTACAGGAATGAATAACATAGACATTATTTAACTGTTAAGAGTAAAACCACTTATGGAATAGCATTACGTTTACGTGTCGTTACTTGGACCATGCCAAAAGAAAGAAGGGATAGCCTTAACATACCTGGAGTAGGGAAAAATTTCGTATGATATTCTTAGAAAATATTGCACCGTACTCCTTTAGAATCGCAAAATTTTACGTTGCTAAGGTTCTAATAATTCTTGTTGGAATCGATTTGATCGCAAGAATTTTGTTTGTAGGAAATCTCTAACGTTCTGGTTGTAGGAACTTTGTAGGAATTTTGTAAGAACTTTCGTTGCTAAAGTACCAAACCTCCCATCTGATTGTAGTATTGAAAATGTTAGAAATGAAATAGTGATCCCATCTGATTGTAGTATTGAAATTGTTAGAAATGAAGTACTGTAACTAACACATTAGTTGAAAATTGACTAAAAGTCACTTCTCCAAGAGGTGGCTTGCTGCCACGTGGGGGGGGGTGGGAATTTAATCTTTATCCATTTATTAGGTAGTTAGGTAATGTTCTGATACCCAGTAATTAATCAATTACCCGCATAATTAAGAATTGTCTCAAATTACTTAAAATACTACCCACTTTTAATACACTTTATATATACCCTACTATCGTGGTCATGTGGTACCATATAAAATCAATACATACACTATTATTTTATTAAAACATTCATGTAACAATACATATATTTTCTCAACTTCTAATTTTTCTAATCTCATATAAAGAGTACAAATTTGCGTACGCTTAATTCTTAAAATGGTAAAAATATAACTTTCTTTTGTGAGAAAATAACTTCTATTTTTACAATAAAGAAAATCTCATTTATAAACTTTTTCATATTATGTGTATAATTTACCATATTCGAAAATAGTAATAATGGTAACTATCCAAAATTATACTTATAAAACTCTTACTAAAATACTCCACTTGAAAGAAAATACCACACTAACATAATATCTAACGGTATCAACGTTGTAAACTTACAGGGTCTCATAATAAAAATGTCTTAAACCCTCTATAACCTCCTAATAGACATAATCCCTTCGAACTCATGTGGATTTACTACGGCATATCCTAATGCTAAGGTACGGGATGTAACATCCTTCCCCCCTTTAGAAACATTCGTCCTCGAATGTTAACTCTTTGAGATTTTGAAAACTTTCGCGTAGCGTCTCCTCTGTATACTAAACTAAAAACCCAACCTCTATCTGAGCTCTGGACTATTCACAACCTTTTGTACTTGTGTATCTCGTATCTTCTTCACCTTTACCTTAATTACCTTTTAATCTTGCATCGTATCTTCTGTTTCTTTCATAACTTCCCTTCCACATAAGTAGAAATTACATCTACGCCTTAAAGCTCTATTGTGATAGCACCTCTAGTGCATACAAAATTCGGTGAAAACTTTATACTGACTTCTTACAACTTAGCTCTATGGCACGATCTGGAAACAGAAGAAGGATAACATTTCCTAAATGCCCTATAGCCTCTCAGTTATAAATGTGGCGCGCAACACACCCATAAGTGAGACTCTACTAGGCACGACTTTGTAGACTCCCTAGGACCCGACTTGCTCTGATACCACTTTGTCACGCCCCAATTTGGGAAGGCGTGGCTGGCACCCGGTGCCGTACTAGCCCGAGCAAACCACTCTGTAACTCATTTGTTTTTTTCTTCTGTAACTATCAAGGGCCAACATGGCCACAACTCATAATGTATAACTATAAGTGGGCAAACGATGTATCAATGAATCATCTTTCATAAAATATGAATACATATGGGCCGTCAAGGCCTCTGACATACTGTACAAAATGAACCTCTGTCTTCAAAGCCTCTAAGATTATTTGACATCAAATGGGACAGGTTACCGGCCTACCCATAAGTCTGTAGAAAAACTCTGACACGATGACTCATAGACTCGGCTGCACTCCGAATGAGGTGGAGTCTTACTGATCCTTTGCTGAATGCCAATCTCGTCTACTATGAGGGCTCGTCAAACTGATTATCTATACCTGCAGGCATGAATGCAGCGTCCCCAACAAAAGGACGCCAGTACGAATAATGTACTAAGTATGTAAGGAAGAACTGAAACATAACAATAAGTCAACATTAATTAAAGACATATAAGAATCGACCTGAATCTCTGAAGTGCCACCGTGTATACATACTTAGTATACTCATATATATACAATGCTTCTTTTTTAGACTATTATCCATATCGTATGATGCATGACTGCCCAACTGATTAGTGGTAACTGCCCGACCGGCCGTAGCTCGGTGGTAAATGCATAACTTCCCAACCGGTGGTAAATAATAATACATAACTGCCCAACCGGTGGTAACTGCCTGACCAGCCGCAGCTCGGTGGTAGATGTATAACTGCCCAACCGGCTGTAACTCGGTGGTAAATGCGTAACTGCCCTACCGGCCGTAGCTCGGTGGCAAATGAATATGCATATCTTCCCAACCGAAGGTAAATAATGATACATAATTGCCCGACTGGTGGTAATTGCCCGACCGACCGTAGTACGGTGGTAAATAAATATGCATGAAAATGTATGTATCGCTATATTATAAACATTAACATCTCTATCATATGCCTCAATAGGGACTTAGGAACATACTTAGACATGCTTGAATATCATTTTACAGGAATAACTAACATAGACATCCTTAACTGTTAAGAGTAGAAACACTTATGAAATAGCATTTCGTTTACGTATCGTTACTTGGATATAACTTTACAGGAATAATAACATAGACATTATTAACTGTTAAGAGTAGAACCACTTATGGAATAGCATTACGTTTACGTATCGTTACTTGGACCATGCCAAAAGAAAGAAGGATAGCCTTAACATGCCTGGAGTAGGAAAAAATTCCGTATGATATTTTAGGAAAAGGTTGCACCGTACTCCTTTAGAACCGCAAAATTTTACGTTGCTAAGGTTCTAATAATTCTTGTTGGAATCGATTTGATCGCAAGAATTTTGTTTGTAGGAAATCTCTAACGTTTTGGTTGTAGGAATTTTGTAAGAACTTTCGTTGCTAAGGTACCAAACCTCCCATCTGATTGTAGTATTGAAAATGTTAGAAATGAAGTAGTGATCCCATCTGATTGTAGTATTGAAATTATTAGAAATGAAGTAGTGTGTAACTAACACATTAGTTGCCACCTAATGAAAATTGACTAAGTGTCACTTCCCCCAAGAGGTGGCTTGCTACCACGTAGGGGTGGGGGTGGGAAATTTAAACTTTATCCACTTATTAGGTAGTTAGGTAATATCTCGATACCCAGTAATTAACTAATTTTCCGCATAGTTAAGAATTGTCTCAAATTACTTAAAATACTACCCACTTTTAATACACTTTATATGTACCCTACTATCGTGGTCATGTGGTACCATATAAAATCAATACATACGCTATTATTTTATTAAAACATCCATATAACAATACATATATTTTCTCAACTTCTAATTTTCCTAATCTCATATAAAGAGAACAAATTTGCGTACGCTTAATTCTTAAAATGGTAAAAACATAACCTTCTTTTGTGAGAAAATAACTTTTATTTTTACAATAAAGAAAATCTCATTTATAAACTTTCTCATATTATGTGTATAATTTACCATATTCGAAAATAGTAATAATGGTAACTATCCAAAATTATACTTATAAAACTCTTACTAAAATACTCCACTTGAAAGAAAATACCACACTATCATAATATCTAACGGTATCAACGTTGTAAACTTACAGGGTATCATAATAATAATGTCTTAAACCCACTATAACCTCCTAATAAACATAATCCCTTCGAACTCATGTGGATTTACTACGGCACATCCTAATGCTAAGGTACGGGATGCAACACCGACCCTTTTGTCACCCCTAGACTTCTACTGTACTGTGTTAGCTGTAGGACAACAGTGTTTGATTAAAATACAGATAGCAGTATTATAATGATATAATAAATTCTACGTTTATCTTAAAAAGGGTTAGAAAAGATAAAACTTTGATTTCTAAAAGTTCGCATGAACAATTTTGAGGGGAAAAAAAAAATTAGGCAGAGAAAAAGGTTCACTTAATATAAAATGTGGGCGGTGCCCAATGAACTACCAAAGCCGCATCTGAACTTCTACTATTTTCCGTACAACACGCATATAAAGATATGTAATTCTAGACGAGCAGTTTTGTGTTTGTCTAACTACTTGGCTCGATATGGACCATCGAAGTTTCGAACTGTTATTAGTTGTCCCACCCCACTCCTATCAATTAATCGAAATTCTTGACCTTAGTATATCTAGAGTTCATATTTCTAAAAGAATCATCTATTTTAGGGTTATGCAGTTGATCACGTGGCAGCCAGAATCACATGCACCGGACAGGAAACCAAAACACTATTTACACTAGAAAAACAATCACACAATCTCAAACTATCAACTGCCAGCAGCTAGTGCAGAAGTGTCCAAATCTTGCCTCGCAGTCCAGCGTAGTTTGTCGTAAACTACAAAAAACAATTTATAAGATTATCATTAGTTGCCTCTATTTAAAAAAATGAAAGAGAAATGAACACTCTAACGCAGTGCTTTCGTCCAACATACTATAATCCCCTTCCAAATCAGGCTACTAGCTCTACCTCTAACATATTTGTTGTTCCCCTCCCCAACCCAACCCAGCGCCTTGCTGCCTTCTGTCAGACTACGAGTGGAATTAAGCATACATAAAATAAGTGGGATGTAAAGAGACTCTTGAATATTCTCCATAAAGGCGAAGAAATAACCACCATTGTCATGTCGGTCTCTACAAATCAATGCCACGCTCTCCTAGTCCAAGTTGATACCTTGGGGCAGCATTGCAGTTGTCTCCAGGATTGTCTCACCATCCTCATCAACTGCAAATTTGCTCCAACCTGGGCCTCGAGCAGATAATAATTTAGCCCGATCAAGACCACCTCCTCGGAAGCCGGTTATTTTCGACGAGACCATGGGCATCACCAGCACTGAAGATGCATGAAGCGAGTCTCCCCCGAAGCCTAGTGATACTGAACATGCAGCCTGCAGGAAGTATACCCTTTAGATTTGTAAGCATGAAATCTCCTTCGTGGAATAGGGAATACAAACAAACACAGAACCTTTGCCTTGACAATCATATTAGCAGTTTTCATCAGCATAACTCGTCCAAATGATCTTATATCCTTAATTTGGGAGTCTTCAGATTGCATGAACAGCCTGGCATGTGCACATTTACCAATAAAAAGGCAGCAACTAGGAAATAAAGGTCATATTACTAAGCACTTTTAACCATTAGGAATTAAAGACAAGATAAAAGCAAGAATTTACTATTCAATCTCCAATAACCAACGTCTGCCTAATAAGGTCTAGACTACATACCTCTCCTCATCCTGCGACAAATTTGAAGTTGTTGAAACTAAAGAACCATCCTTCACTTCACCTCCTGCAGATATTATTGTTCAGTCTTTCATGCCCTAGGCACATTTTAATTTTTATTACCAAGAACCTGAGATCAAAAGTAGCAATACCTTTTGATTCATCTGGTGCTAGCAAAGAAATGCCCACAAACACAGAAATCATTCCAAGAATGAACATTGTTGTTNAATATGTACACTCCAACTTGACAGAGAGTTACCAATAGAGAAATTATTAGTATGGCAAGAGCTCATTCGTTGTAAATATGGGAAAGGTTTAGAATCCTTAAAACTGTGTAATTAAAAATAGGAATTATTTTTCTTTCCTTTTAGGATTACTTGCAAAAACTATTTAAACTCCAACATACTTGAGAAAACAATCAAGCAATTTATTCTCAGCATATATCCCTTTCTCATTCTTTACATTCATTTTAGAAAGGGAAAAAGCGAGGAGATGCACATGCCCTTCCGTACACACTGGAGAAAGAGCAAACCTGGTATTCCTGAAAGTACACAAATCCTGTACAAATGGAGAAAAAAGTCCAAGCGATTTGAAACATAGGGACAATAAGTATCGCATCAAAGAACGAAAGTCCTTCATTTAACCGTGCCATCTGCGACAATAAAAAATTCGAGAACAGAATCAGTTAAAGAACACATGTTCAAGTATTCTATATTACAACAGTTGAATGACAAAGCAACGAACAAGTGCATCATTCTATTACCCAAAATCCAGCTGTACTAAGAAACAACAGGAGCATGGAATACGTGAACCAGCTGTGCAATGAATAACCACTTGACATGGACAATCTTAACATGTTTGAACTGCAAAATAGAAGTAACCAGGGTCAAATGTATAAGATACAGTTCTTCCATCAGAAGGCAAAGAACCATGTATGCCACTTACAGAGACTTTGCAAACAATACTGAACATGATCCAACAGCACCTGAAACAACTGCATATGAAAATGGAAGCAGCATGCGCCAACAGGGCTTATTTTCATTCATCGGTACAGCAAGCAATAATTCTCCTCTCCTGCATGATTAACATTAGATTTGCAAGAACTACCAAGATAAGCATCCTCTTTTTCCAATATAGGTCTATAGAAAACATGACAAATCATGATTCCTTGTTTTTCAAATTTTAACATCGTGCTCTGTACTGCTGAGATGTTTAGAAGGATATCCGATTCCTGGGAACAGACTACTCCATATTCCCTATTAATTTGTCTTCAAATTCTCAGTTGTCTCAAATAACTCCAATTAACTAACAGAGAAGCCTTTTTCCCAAGGTGGAAATCAGGGCAAGCAAAGCATTGGATGAACTCCTCCTATTTGAACAAGCTACCGAAGTATGAATGCAGACCCAGGAGGAAAAAACTCAAATTATGAACTTTAAAGTGGAAATCCAGCAGTTGGCTAAGGCAGAAGAGGCCTCATGGAGACAAAAATCTAGGTATTGGTGGTTGAAGGACGGTGACAAAAACACCAAATTCTTTCAGAAGATATTAACATTGACAAATTATTGGTGGGGGAGGAGATTATTGAAGATAAAGAACTCATCAAGGAAGAAATTCTCAACTTCTATCAGAATCTTCATTCAGGATGAAAGCTGGAGACCTACAGCCACTTTTGAAGGGATGGGATGTTTAACAGTAGAAGAAAGTAAGGATCTAGAGACAGACTTTGGTGAGGAAGAAATGCTAGTTGCTATCAACTCATGTACTCCTGATAAAGCTTGTGGACCTAATGGTTTTACAAAGGCCTTTTATCATAAGAATTGAGACACAGTCAAATATGAGGTGCTTGGAGCCCTCAATCACTTTCATCACAACTGTCATATGGTAAGGTCCTTCAATGCTTCATTCATTCCCCTCACTCCAAAAAGAAATTGAGCCGGCACTCAGTGACTACATACATACCTATGACCTATCAGCCTTATTGTCAGTTTCTACAAAATCACAGATAAGGTGCTGGCTGTAAGAAAAGGATAATTAGAAAACTGGTTTCAGGTTCAGGGTACCAAAATGATTGTATTAAAGGCAGGCAAATCATAGATGCTACACTCATTGCTAATGAAGTCCTGAATTGGAAGCAGAAAAATGGGGAAGCAAGTCTCCTATTCAAGTTTGACATTGAAAAAGCCTTTGACAAGCTAAATTGGGCATTCCTAATCTCAATACTCAGGAAGATGGGCTTTAGGTAAAAGTGGATTAGATGGATAAGATACAACATGTATAGTCAAGTATTCTATCCTTATCAACAGAAGTCCAGTGGGTTTCTTGTTTCCTATGAGAGCAATCAAACAGGCGATCCTCTTTCATCTTTCCTCTTCATCCTTGATATGGAGGGGCTTAGCTGTATGCTAGAAAAAGCCAAGCAGATACTGTGGCCCGAGGGTTTCAGGATAGGAAATAGTTGTGTTAACTCTGTGTTTATCTCACATCTACTCTTGCAGATGACACTTTTTTTATATGGTGCTGAAAAAACCCAAGTTCTATACCTAAACCTCACCCTCATGATTTTAGAAGCAATGTCTGATCTCCATATTAACATGCTGAAAAGTGTAATTTACCCTCTTAATATGGTACCTGATCTAGAGGAATTGGTTATCATGTGCTGCAATGTTGGTTGCTTTCCATCCACTTATTTGGACCTTCCTTTGAGTGCCAAACACAAGTCGGCTGAAATATGGAATAGGGTTGTTGAAAATTTTGAGAAAAGACTTACTACATGGCAAAAACAGTATCTCTCATTAGGAGGAAGGATCAACAGTGTATGTCTCTTTTTCCCCTCCTTGCCAAAGTCTTAAAACAGCTTAACAAAATTAGAAGTACTTTCTTATGGGAAAGCGACAGTTAAGCACACAAATTACACCTGGTGAAGCGGTCCAAAGTCACTCTACCTAAAGCTTTTGGTGGCCTCAGTATCAAAGATCTTGTTATACATGGTAAGTGCATGCTTATGAAGTGGCACTGGAGGTTTAATCAAGGGTCTACGGGAGGAGGTAACTATGGCTAAACATCGCAGTAGCACCCACTGGTGTACCAAACCAACCAGACTAGCGCATGGAACTGGATTGTGGAAGACCATTAATAACCTATGGGGGGGATTCTTCAGTAACACTCACTTTGAGGTAGGGGGATGGGAATCACATTAGATTTTGGTTAGACAAATGGATAGGAGATTCCACACTGAAAGAAGATTTCCAAACCTACTCAGCATAGCCAGATACCAAAACTCTTCTATTTCTCAGCACAGAGATGGTAACCCCTGGAACTTAACCTAAGGAAGAACTTACACGAGGAGGAAATAGAAGATCTCTCGACTTTGCATAAAAATCTGGAGAATTGCAACATTGATAATCAGGTTGGAGACAGTTTGAAATGGGGTTGCAGCAGTATTTACACAGTCAACAGGAGGCTATGCACATTTGAGCTTTAATAAGATGATGGTCAATCAATGGCACTGGAAATTAGTTTGGAAAACCAAGCTCCCCCAAAGATATCATGCTTCATTTGGACTGCGCTAAAAGGGGCATGCCTCACTCAGGACAACCTCATCAGAGGAAATTTTCAACTGGTCAATAGGATGCCTCAATGGATGCCTTTAATGGTATTTCACTCCAAAAAAAAGTCTTGTGTTACTTGGAAAATTTGTATCAGTCCAGAAATAAGCAGTTCGATTGTCGAGAGCATTGTATTTCTGAAACCAGGGAGAACCTAGAGAGAAGGGAGAGTTTCTCTTTCTAAAAACTTCTGACCAAACAGCTCCTTAGCGTCCACTTTTACATTTACCAGTATACGTGCCTCTAAATGCAACGGTGACCCTGTAATTCCTGCTAATTTATACTCCCTCTGCCCATTTTATTGGTTCTGGTTTGATTGGTTATGAAATTTAAGAATGGAATCAAATGATATGTTGTGAAGGAGAGCAATCTTTTCAGTAAAGATTATCAAAATGTAGAATATTAAACTTAGCCCCTGAAGGTATCAGCTAAGGCTCACTTTGTCTATTTCAACTAGTTTCCTGGGCACTTAACTCCATTGAACATATAAAACAACTAAGAGCAATCCCCTGTGAACCTGATTTATAAAAGTAGAAATACCCTCACTTAAGTAGATATTTGAGCATAATTATAGCCATGAAGAATAGGAAGGCGTACATAGCAATTCTTATAGTAGTCACTTTAGCCGTGGCAGGTATAAGCATGCTTGGAGAACGAAGAACAAGTTGGTGCGCAAGAGGAAGGCGGGAGAGACAACACAAGGAGCAAGCGGCACAGTTTATAGCCAACGGTTTTCATTTTCACCTGAAACTTACACTTTGAAGGAATATATCCCAAGTCCATTACTTCTAGCAGGCTAAGTTTTTAGAAGTCAGAGTAACTTGACACAGTACTTTAACAATATACTATTACTTGATACTAAAAGAATGTGCAGAAATTATTGACTGTACCATTGTGACTTACTTGTATATTGAATGATGTAAAGCAACGACTAAGACTAAAGTGAGACTGTAAAGAAGAAACGTAATGTTGCTGTACTTCTCAGCCAACTGCTCCGGCGTGTAAACTACAAACAAAGGAGGATAATAAATTATAATCTGTTGGGAGCATGTAACAATCTTTTATTCTTTTTCTTTTTTTTTTTTTGCCTTTTCATAAGGTAATGAAGCATATAACAATCATACATTACTAGAAAGCGGAGCATATGCAAAGTTTGAAATATGTTAAAAAGTTACTCCTCAGTCCCATTTTATGTGACACTTTCTTTTTTTTTTATAAGAGGGAAACCCGCAGCCGCTACACTTGGTGCGCACTGGGTAAACCTCCCCCTGTGTAATAGCCTGCAAACCACACAGGGGAGGTAAACCGCACTAGGCAAGCCATGTGCGACAGGCTCAACCCAGAAGGCATTGAGGGAGATTCGATCCCAGGTCATCCGTATGGATGACCGCCCTGCAAACCAACCGGGCAACCCCCGAAGGGTGACACTTTCTTTCTAGTCTGTCTCAAAGAATGACTTCTTTCTATTGTTGGAAAAAATTCTTAGCACCCCCATTTACTCTGAAGTGTCCCACATTGGCTAAGGAAACGGGCTCTTGATATGATTTTGAACAATCCTCACCTCATAATCTAACTTTTCCGGTTGCGTTAAACCCGGATTTTCATGGCATGAGACATTTTTCTTACAAGGTAAAAAAAATTATTTATACTGGGAGCAACTCCCGTATACTAGTATACCAACATTTAGAGAACCTAGAAAAGATATGATACTCTACAAATATGACAATCTGTGGCAGACACCCAATCTTCTGTACACTCATGATATAGGACAATTATAAACGACACATGGTAAAACAAAGATATAAGCAACAAAAACAACAATCTTCACCTTCCATCACATACCAGGTGACTGGTGGTTGCCAAAGGCTACAAGAAAGATGTTTCCAAGAACAATAAAGGCAGTAGCTACCAATACTCTGCAATGCGAAAGATATTTATCAGACCGTAGCTTGTAAAACAAGGATAATAATTACTATAAATCAACAATCAATTCTCTGAATTGCTGGTAGTTTAGACTCGGATCCTTATTGATTTTGATAGAAGAAGTTTAAATGTTAGCTTACTTGATTGTCACTGTTTTGTTCAAAACAAAGTAGGCAAAGGCGATGTTTGAGACAAATTGTATAGATCCCAAAGCTGCTAGAAGTGACTGCCGAAAAGGAAATACCACGATGATCAAGGAAAAAAACAAAAATATGCATCATCAAAGAAAAGTAAACATTGCTGCTAATGCTCTGAAACTGTGTAAAAGCCAACAGATAATGTGTCACGCAAAGAGATGCGCAGGAGAATAACCTAAGTTGCTAAGACTCGGGTGCGGGTATCCAATACGGGGACAGATCCGAGTATCGGATTCGGCAAAATCTAAATTTTAAGATTCGGGGATGCAGATCCGGATATGGATACAGGTGGGGGGATTCGGCTAATAAAAATAGAGCTATAAAAATATTGTAAATATTGAGAGATATTCTGTGAAAAACTTGCACGAATATTGTAGAATTCAATCTTTCATTCTCCGAAATTTGTTTTATTTTTTATTTTGAGAAATCAAAATCTCAATTTTTCTCCCAAATTTGTCGATGGACTCCGGTCAAAGGGTCCGAAGTCAGTTGACCGAATCCGGGACGTATCCCGCTCCCGCTCCCGTCCCCGTCTAGTATCGTGACGGGGACGGCACCAAAATCGAAGAGTCCGCGCAACTTAGAGAATAACTACAGCAGTATCAATCTTTGATCCTTCTATTATAATCAACCTAACCAGCAAAATGTTTGATGGGCTGGGAAGGTGACCAACTCAGGGATGGCTGGATGGGAGCGAAAAATTAGCCTTGATGGTACACTCAATCCTTGTAGTCATTGGTACACCGAACAGGTTACATCCCTGTAGTCCAACTGGCTACATGCTGGTACCCAACCATTGGACTTCTCGTAAACCTGTCAATTAAATTAAAAACTAAAGCCCTACTTCTGTTTAGACCATTTTCTTTTTATTCTTTACTTTACTTTTTCTAAAAGTAGCAACATAAGTACTAAGTTCACTTACTTATGTTGAATAACGACCAAGAACAGTAAGAAGCTATCCATATTAAGATTTTACCATTATGCTACATCAATGTAAATTAAGTTATGCATGATTTACTTCATAGATTTAGTCAAAATACAAGCAACTTGTATTGAATTGTGTGAACCACCTGATAAGTATGATATTTTGCATAATATTTGTGGCAATTCCCCTATCAAGTATCAATTGCACTTATTCTTTACCCGTTTTCGATTAATTTTTGGATAAATACTCATGGTTGTGTGTTTTTGATGCATAGGAAGAAGATTAGATGAGAAGTGGTAATGAGAAAGCAAGATGGAAATAAAAGCTGATGAATAGAAGAGAGAGAAAAAGAAGTCCAACTGAGACAAGAGTTCCAAGTAATGCAGTGACTGTGGCACCTTAACTACCGAATGCCAAATTGAAGTGCTGAAATTGATTTGAGCTAGTGTTCAAACCGCGATGGTAATTGCAACCGCAGCTCTCCTTTCTTTTTTCCTTTTTTCTTTTTTACAGTGCGACTGTGACCGCAACTCTTTAACCCAAGCTTTAAATAGTCATCTTTTGATTCTTAAAATCTAAGCATCTTGATGGAGAACAACCCTTGGGCATCCTTTCAACGCAAAGAACACAACCTTAGGAGAGTTATCTGATTGAAGACTAAGATATATTGTTTTCCCTGAATCTTATTCTTTTTATTCATATCCTTTCATGGATAGTTTTTATCTATATATGTTTTGCATTGTTCTTGAATATGAATTATAACTAACCGTCCAAGCTAGGATTGTATTGAACCATATTGCTTTTGTTGATCTAATTTGATTCTTCCATTCTTGTTATTCTTGGATGAATGTTCACTTTGTTCAATCTTGCTTTGTGTTTTTTCTGCGAGTCTGATCAACAAGTAGGGTGCCCATAATAGGTTGAATAGGACGTTGGGACGGGAACTCAAATCAGTTTATATTGAACAATGCCGGATTAACTAATTAATTGAGTTACTTAGGTTAATTTGTGACGGAGAGTCGGAAGATATCCTACCATCCTGCGTATCCAGAGAGTTAGGCCTATTACTAAAGCATTCTAACTAATCCTCCTACGCTAAATGCAATGTTGTCAAAGGTGAAAAGCTCTAAAAAGCACTCCAGGTCTATAGGTTCTTTAAGCGCAAAGGCAACCAAAGTGTGGGCTTTAGTAAGAAAATGCGCAATGAAGGGAAAAAATAAAAATATATATATGTGATTCAAGAAAAAAGGTAATAAATTCATTCACTTAGCAATTCATATACTTATTTTCCAATTATATATGCTTTAGTAACGCTCTCCTCAAGATACAGAAGGGGAGCCTTGGAGCAACGGTAAAGTTGTCTCCGTGTGACCTATATAGGTCACGGGTTCGAGCCGTGGAAGCAGTCATTAATGCTAGGGTAGTTGTCTACATCACACCCCTTAGGTGAGGCCCTTCCCCGGATCCTATGTGAACGCGGGATGCCTTGTGCACCGGGCTGCCCTTTCTACTCAAGATACAACTCATGGGCAATGAGGCACA